ATAAAAAAGGGAAGAAAGGATTAGAGACTTCCTGCTTCTGTAAAACTCAAATTGCAACGAATATGAACATATTTTTTAACTTATCATGTCTATTGATGTTACCACAACACATGTTTCGGTCGAACACGCGTTTACTCGGTGTTTATTTACACCGTCAATTTGATTGGCTATTATATTTAAGGAAAACCTGTTCTACAGGTATTCGAATAAACAAATTGACCGTTTTATCCATTTCTAAAGAAATGGGCGTGTCATAAGATGACAATAAACATTCTAAAGATAGCTCAAAACGTTCCATTCGAACGGGAAATTTTACCACTTCAATGCGCTTCATTGTAAGTTCATTTCCCAGAGAACTCCAAAGGCTCGAGTAAGCTTTCCTGATCAAAATTTGTCCGTTGTCTGTCGTTGTTGTTGTCATCGTCGTTGTAAACTTTTCATATTTTCATCTTCTTCTCCAGAACTACTGGGCCAATTTCAACCAAACATGGCACAAAGTATCCTTGGGTGAAGGGAATTCAGGTTTGTTCTAATAAAGGGCTACTCCCTTATTCAAGGGGAGATAATTCAGAAATAGTGAAAATTTAGTGGTATGTTTTAAAAATCTTCTTCTCAAGAACCACTGTGTCAGGAAAGATGAAACTTATAGGGAAGCATCCTCAGGTAGTGAAGATTCAAGTTTGTTCAAATCATGACCTCCGGAGGTAGGGCGGGGCCACAATGGCGGATCAAAGTTTTACAAATAAATATACAGGGAAATTTTTTTAACCATCAAGCAAGCCTTCCTCTTTAGATTTTGTCGAATCAATACCTTCACAATTTTCAATGCATTTCCTATGTAAAATGTTGATAAAAGGGACCTACATTATTTTCAACTGTACGATTTCTCTGAAACCTATATATTTCATAGACATTTTGAATAAAATACATTGTTGTATCCTTATTTCCGATGACATGCATATATTTTACGTGAAAATGCAAATATAAAAACAAGACACAGAACTTTCAGTACTGTTCTGTAACTTAGTTACTCTTCTTTACATCTAATCATTATTCATAATGATCAAGAGTTTCTATCTTGTAATTTACGACATTGGAAACGAATTGTCATAAATACATTTACTTGGACTTATAACTTTTATTCGTAGTTACTAAACGATGCCTTTTTCACATGACCAATCCGGTTACTTAGCTATCACCACTTTCAGCATATGTCACATTTCTGTCCTTCCCAGCAGAGCTATGGTAAATGACGACCTGTTGACTCTCTGCACGTTTAGTTTACACAATCTACAAAAAACCATCACTGATTTTCTTTCTTGCTGTATAGTTGATTCTATCTGTTTAAAACAAGAAATCTGTGAGCCAATGCTCACTAGGAATACCCCCGCTCTGATGTGAAGAAACACTATCATATTAATATACACAAGTTTAATTACGGACAGATGCACAGAAAAATATGAAATTTGCATCAGATTCATATCAAAATTATTCCCACCATATGGCATGCCCCAGCAAAGAGTGTACTAAAGTTTCAAGCATCAGCTATGAGTAGTTGATGAGAAAATTGCGACGAAAAATTTGTTATGTATGAAACAGACAGACGCACAAACAAACAGGAAGTTGACATCGGATTTGACCAAAAATGTATTCTACCGTATGCCATGCATCAGAGAAGATTGTGTTAAAATTTCAAGCATTTGCGATGAGTAGTTGCTGATAAAAGTGCGACGAAAATTTGTTATGTATGAAACGGACAGACGCACAGACAAACAGGAAGTTGATATCGGATTTAACCAAAAATATATCCCACCATAAAGTATGCCTCAGAGAAGATTGTGATAAAATTTCAAGCATTTCTATCCAACTAAAGCATGAAACAAAAGGAACTCTCTAAGTCTATTTTAAAAAAAGACACTTTAAAACTGTGGCTAAGAAAAAGTTTCAAACTGCTTTGCATAATCAAACATTTGACCTTTCTGCACTAATAAAATGTTATATTTCTGGAATTGAAAATTTAAATAGCTAGAAAATTATTTTAAAGTCTTAAACTTTTTCTGAATTTTAGCAAATAGGTCAAGGTTATCTTAAATATTTTGAAAAGAACATCAGAGTTTGGGGTCTATGATGTAAATTTTCAGATATTACTTTCAAAAAATGTCAATTTTACGATAAAATTGGCTCAGTTTTTTCCCGGATTTTCAAAATATATTAACTATATTTGTCACATTTCGTTGAAAGACCTCATAAGAAAAAAATTAGGAGATATTTCAGAACCAGCATAGTTCACATTTCACCGCAAAAACAGCTTTGTGTGCAACCAGCATGAAAAATAGGAATCTAAAATAAACAGTATTGTTATCCCGGTATTTCAAAAGGGAAAAAACGGATCATTTTCTTCTGAAAAACCTTCCCCAATAAAATATAGTCCCTATCTTAATTCTACTTGAATGAAATTTAATTGAAAATTAATTAAATTTAGATCAATTTGCATTGTAGAATTCAGATTTGATGTCCGAACTTAAAAATGATGCAAGATTTAATAAATAAAGGACAGGACCAAAATCCGTTGAAAAGCTTAGGATCGAACGTCTTTAAAACATTCTTCAGAACAAAGGAAGATCTTTTAAACATCGGTTAAATAAAAAATATCTATATGTTTCATCTTTTTCATCACTTTTAACTTAGAAGTTCTGAAATCAACAAAAATATAATATGTAAACAAGATATGACCTCGCCTCTATAAGACTTCTGACCCCCAAATAAGTTCATATAGAATTGAACATATTTTTTCTTCAATGGATTCATCTAAGAACAAAAAAATGCAAATGTAAATATATATTATAGAGGTACCGAAAAGGCGTATTTTTACTCCATACCTTTAATATGAAAATCTGTATAGTGAAACGAAAACCCTAAAGCTTACCATCCTTTGCCTGGATATTCTTATAAATGTACTTACATAATGGAAACATTCATGTTCGACATAAAATAAAGATCCACCAGGTAATTTTATCTATTATTTCACTTCTTTGGTAGTTTTAAACAAGTGATTGAATATACCTACTGTTGGGTATTTGTGAAAGGTTGTATTTAGCGACAGGAACTATTACTTTTATTATATTACTGAATTGAAAACTCTGAATTGATTTTTAAAAAATTGTCTGTTTCCTTTATATATTTTCGGCATGGAGTATGTAGCGACTGCTTTCAGCCTTATCTTACAGTTTACAGGGATTCAAGGATATGGTAAATATTAAAATTACAATGTACATGTAAATTTTTTATCTAATGCTTACAAGATATGTTCTCTCTCTCTCTCTCTTCAGTATTTGCCTATAGATTCTTAAATAATAAATACATTGTTTCTCTTTCCCAAAAAATGGTTAATTATGAAATTAACAAAACAATTGGGTTTTTTTAACTTCAGTGCTGCTTGGAGGAAGGGGGTTACTTTTCTTTTTTACGATATAATTTTTTTTCATCATAAATTCAAAGGCTACGGAGATCTTTACAATTACTTCACATATTAGACGACCTATATACATCAAAGTACATGTATATTATCAAACAAAGACAGATAGTTCCCCATATTGATTACAGGTTTGAAAAAAAAATCCTTATAATTTCCTGGTTAATTTTAATAAATGTTTACTATTTCCCCCTTAAGCAAACAAATAGAGTTGAGATGTGGTGTTAAGTTAAGACAGTGTGTCTTTTCAGATTTTTTTTTTTAAATTACAAAATCGAGTTCTTACAAATATAGTTTGATAAAATAGGTTTATTCGGGACATATTTTTTTTTAGGTAAACTAACTAAAAATATTTGAAATTGTGCCTTTTATTTATGAAAAACGAGGAGAAAATGCATCAGAATATTGAATCGTTGTTGAGGAGAGTAAATTGTGGTGCTGAAAAGTTATAAGTAATACAGGAGAGTAAAATGTGGTGCAAGTGAGTAAATTTTAGTGCAGGAGATACTAGAATACATTGTGTTTGCAGTAGAGTAATTTGCTGAGCAGGAGAGTAATTGTGGTACAAGATATTAAATTGTGTGTATCAGAGTAATCTATGGTGCAGGGGATTGAGTTGTGGCATAGGAGAGATCGTTGTGCCGCAGTGTAATTCGTGACGCGAGAGGGGGAATCGTACGTGATACGGGAGTGTAATTTGTCGTGCGGGGGATTAAAGCTTGGGTTTGGAGAGTAATTTATGATGGAGGAGAGTAGATTGCGGTACAGGGGAGTTAATCTTGGTACAAGAAAATAATTTTAGATGTAGGATTGATTGATTGTATGTTGATTAACGTCCCTCTTGAGAATTTTACACTCATACAGAGACGCCACCACTTGCCGATGGAGAGTTACAAAATATGTACTATACTCGGCACTCAGGGCCATTGAGCAGTGAGGGATCTTTTTCGTGCCAACATCTACTGCGAACCGGGACCCCAATTTATACGGTCTCGCCCGAAGGACCGGTCTCCACGTTCCACAGTAGGATTCGAACCCGCCACGTAAGGATCAACTCCTTACTTTGCGATTCTAACCACTGCGCCACGTGGGCGACTTGGAAAGTAAATTGTGATGCAAGAGAATCAACAATATGCAGAAGAGGTAAGTGTTGTGTTTAAGGGTTAATTTCGATGCATGAGAGTAAATCAAAGTGGAGAGCTTTACAAACACCTCTGGGTCAATAAACCTAGCTAGTATGTGTATATAATCATATTGTCGCCTTGTTAAAGACTATCTCAAAAGAAAAGTTTGTACGTGTATGTACCTTTTTTGTTGCGTAGGCACTTTAAAATTTGTTTTATTGTTGATTAATATACCGTGGTTCGGAGAATATGTCGATATTCCATTGATTTGAAAAAAAAGTCCTTGAAAATACAGACCCTATTTATGCTCAAAATTAAGACGTACGTGTAAAAAAAAAACGCGATATATCAAAGTTTTTTTTTTTAACAAATACTTTATACATTATTTAATGAAATACCGTGTCATGCTTACAGAAAACCTTGCACTGAATAAACCAGCAGTTCAGAGCTCAACCTTTACGTCGGTAGTGAATTTTTCCGCGGTTTTGGCTGTGGACGGAAATACGGATCAGAGAGCGGCCAGAAATAGCTGTGCCAGAACGAACTTTGACCCAATTGTTTGGTGGAGAGTGGATCTACAAGCAACAAGAAACATATACAGTATTAAAGTCTTCTATCGGAACGACAGTGACCAACATGGTTGGTATAACTGAGTAATCTGTTTTATTACTAAAACATTACATAATTGGAAGCCAGTAGGTACCAGCTAGGTTGACTGTCCCTCTGGAGACTTTTTCACTCTTATGGAGACTCCACTATTTGCTACAGACTCTAACTTATAATCGGCTTTTATGGCTTTTGAGCAGAGTTGGAACTTTTTTCGTGCCAGCACCTACTGCGACACACAACCTCGGTTAATACGGTCTCATCTGAAGGGCAGTGGGATTCGAACACGCGACGTAACGATCAATTCCTTTCTTGGCGACTATAACCACTGCACCAATCGGGCGGCAGATACCAGGTAGAAAAAAATATTCTATCTGGCAACCGTCAGTTATTTACGATGTTGGCACAAGAAACTTGTCTTGCAGGCGCCAGAGAAATACTTTTTTCCTGCTAAGCACCTACTGGCTTCTGATGACATCGAATATTTGTTGTTGTTGTTTAATCGCTGAACTTTAAAATGTCAGTTAAATATTGTTTTTCCATGTCTGTATGTTGAATATTCAATATATACAGAGTAATCTTGACTCCCGATTATAAAGCTGATAGCAAATGCAGACGATGAGATAATTTTACTGTCATGGCATTAAATTCTATGCAGCACAAAGTTATACTAATGAATTATTCACATTCAACACCCCCAGTATAGATCTGAAGTGGTAGGTTGAAACGGCTAGCTGCAATTTGCATTTTTCTGCGATTAGAGCCGAGGTTTTGTGTTTTAATATAAATAATCTGATTTAATACATCCTGATGTATGAAAGGTTCACACTATGTGTAGGCATAGTTTGATTTCTTGGTTGTTTTTGTCTACAATGTATTTTCATGATTTTTTCTCTCCCAAAAGTTGCAAATCGAGTTGAAAGCCATGCGGGTTTTGCACTCTATGTGTCGAATACAACAGGGATTAAAGATGGATTTTTGTGTTACAAGAATGAGGATAAGCTACCCCCTCTTCTGTCTGAGCATGTTTGTGTAACACACGGACGATACGTAACCTATTACAATGAGCGAGGAGGTGGAGCGGTTGTGCCACAGGGATCGCGACCGACTTCAACAATAGCAGATCTTTGTGAAGTTCAAGTATTCGGTATTTTTTACAATTGATATCTTGTACTTTCATACTAATAATTAGGAATTATTTACACACTGATTTGTCTATGGATTTTTCTGTTCCTCCAAATCATGGGCAGAAGACGGCTGTTTCGACCGCTTCACAGGGGAAGCTCAGTTGTCCATTGCGCCTGATCCCACATCTTTTAATTTTTTGATAGCACTGCCTCCAATTTGCAAAATTATTTAAGTGAACCTTAAGGTAAGTCACTCCTGAAATTTGTTAAATCAAGGATTTTTTGAGAAGTATATTTTGGATAAGTACTCATAAAGTGTAACTCAAAATCGCAAAGAAAATAGGGGGTCAGTGTGCATCCTACTGATCTACGGTACATTTAAGTTGACCTTTTTGCACTTAAATTTCATCTCTTTAGTTAATTACTTAAACCCTTACTATATTTTATCAGGTGTAAGCATGGCAATAAATATAATGTTATTTTACGTAAAATAGTTTGAATAATATTTATCATTAAACAAATCTTGCAAAATAATGCGCGTAAATTATTGTGTGAACTTTTTGCACTAAAAAATAACATATTTGGGGTATTAAAAAACTTAATAGGCAATAAAAAATGTTCTTATATCAAACTTTTTACGACTTAAGTGCTGATCAGTCACAAGTATCGAGTAGTTGAAAATAATGAAAGAAAAAGATGGGGTCAGTGATGTTAATTTTGAAATATTTGTCAAAATATGTGATTTTCATCAGGCAAAAACTGGTGTAAATTTGATCTTGATTTCTTTAATATTTTTTCATTTTTTGGAAAAGTTTGTAGAGGGAAGGTGTAAAACTTAGTCTAAAAATATAAATTAAGACCTATATTAAATATTTTTAGCAATATCAAAACGGAAAATATTCGACGAGTAAAATTATGTGAGGCTAAATTTCCATTACATTAAATTTTATAAATGTGCAGATTTGCAAAATTTTCTGCTTAATATCCTTCCACCAAAAAAAATAGTCCCTCATAAATCTTGCTTCTTTGTAGATTTTTGAGCAGTTTTTTCGTTGAATGTTAAAAAATTTACATTGTTGAATTCAAATATGTTATAAAAATCGAAATTTAATAAGTAGTTTTGAAGTAACTGCTTCTGCGTAAACTTTTCTAAAAAGCTGACGAGTGACATACCTTAAGTTTACTTAATGGTTCGTTAAAAATATTTTTAGATTTTTTTTTTTTGATTTATTTACTTTCAAATTTGGAAGATTTAAGTTTTAGTCGGATGATTTCTAGGTTGTAGCAAGGATTTTGTGTATGGGAAGAACTGTGATAGACCATGTCCAGATAACTGTCTAGGACGTGAATGTCATATAGTGACCGGATATTGTCAAGAATGCATCGACGGAAGGCAGGGTCAGCAATGTGATAAATGTAAGAACTGCACATAGCAACCTGTTCAATGCAAGAGAAATATTACTCCTTTGAATAATATATAAAACTTTTATAAGCACATTAATTTGCCAAGCAAGTTTGATTGAATTCAAAAGAAAGAGTATTATCAGAAGTTTCAGCTCGATCTTCTACTTTGAGAAAAAAGTGATGTCATTTTAGGTTAGATATTTGTTCAGTCTGCTAATGCTAGAGAAGATAAACTATGTCTTTTTCCTATAAAAGGCAATGATGGTTTCTTTGGTCCTAACTGTACCACACACTGCAGTGAGTTCTGTAATAACGTAACATGTGATAGCTCTACAGGGGAGTGTTTGTTTGGTTGTGCGGCTGGCTTCACAGGATTACAATGCAATACAAGTAGGTGGAGACAGTTCAGTGTAATACATGTATTAAAATTTGCATGTGAAATGTACAATTTAAATGAATATGGGCCATGGGTTGGGATACCACGCATGATTTCCTTTTATATTATAAGTATAAGCAATGATACTCGTCCACATATAATAAATTATTTCAATCTTAAAGTTTTTTTTATGTTACACATCAGCACATATGCGTATCTTTTCGTAAATAAATTTATGAGTAATTTGGCTCTTTGATAAATGTTTGATATATTTAATGAAGTACTGTATATATCAAGTCAGCATAATTTCAGATTGTAAATTCAGATTTTTTAAAGTCAGATTTTGAAATTTACTTCTGATTGATGTGTAGGATGCATTGGAGGAAACTATGGAGAAAATTGTAGCAGTGACTGCGGCCATTGCGTTAGGGGTAAAATGTGTGATCACGTTTCTGGTTTATGTGAAGGAGGATGCGCGGAGGGATACAAAGGTCAAATTTGCAAAACACGTAAGTAAAAAGTCAATCTTGAGAATAAATATCTATATGTATTCCAGTACACGGCTTCGCTTCAGTAGTAAATGAGAAAGTATTTAGAACAGAACATTATTTTACATATATCGAAAAATGGGTCATTATTGTATGTAGCAGATGCATGATAGCACTCTTACTTTCGTTCTATACAAGGTGTTATTATATAAGAAGATTATTTTCGTAATTTTCATTGGCTGAAAGGACTAAACGTGATATTCCTCCTTTTGCGCTGTCGACGTGAAAGCGCGTCTGCGGAAAATGATATTGCAAGATAGAACGTGACGTCATAATATTAGAGGCGTGTTTTTTAACATTGTGACGTAATGACAGCCAAATCTGTTCAGTTAGAACTGTGTGAGTGCATTCACTTTGAGAGATTATATAATACAACTATTATGGACTTCAGCGAACGGTCTGTATGTGGTTTTATTATACCTCTGTTGATAATACTCGAGTTTGATTGGCTGGTAAGAAAACTTTAATACACAACAATGACTCAAAATGGTACTGTTTACAGCAATACTGACCTAGAAATCATTGCATGTGGGATATAATGACCTCTTAATCAAAAATTCCTTTTTGAGTGAAGTTAATGCATAAAATAATAATTATTCGAGAAAAAGAACATGTTTTTAAAATTTTGCATGGTCTGTTTTGCATAACCATACAGAATACGGTAACATTTTGTCGTTAACTTAAACGGTTTACTCATTTCAAAATATCTCATGATGCAAAACTTACACGACTAACAGACGTCAATGTAAACAACTTCACTATACGGAGTTTAGCGAATCACGATCCCGATCAAATAAAGAATTAATAACGGTTAGAGATTCATACTTTTTAATATATATCGGTATAATAAAACAATTGATTACCCCTTGTGAGTTCAACATGGTGAAATAAGGATCCTTGACCTGGTCCACTCGATGACTTGCCTTGACCTCGGCCGTTACGCGGCCTAGGTCAGGACAGGTCACCTCGTGGGCCAGGTCTCTAGTCTTTATTTCACCTTATACATATTGTGTATCAAGCGTTCTGAAAAAAACTATCCCCCTGTGGATTCAACGAGATGTACGTGTATATATATTTCAATCTTGACCAAACCTATATAGTAACAATTATCTGATATACCTGTTTGTGAGCATTTTGTTATTATTTGTTACTGGTTACACGGAATCATGTAAGTACATAAAAAATATCTACGATAGCGGAATAGGTGAGATGCAGTGTAAGTTAGATTCAATCATGGGGAAAACTGATTTGAGATCAGAAGAACTTATGCGATAGTAAGGTGTCCGTCGTTCATCTGTCTGTCTGTCTGTCTGTCTGTAAACATTTTTTTTTTCAAAATGCTACGCCTACTACAGTTTTGGTCTAATTTCAATCTAACTTGGCACACATGTACACTACTCTAAGAAACATAATTCAGTGGATCAAATTTTGATTTCGAGGAACGGTGTTGCCATGGTAACTAAAAAAAGAAATTTCTATAAAATTCCTTTAAAACGCTACTCCTTCTTCAGTTTTGGTCTGATTTCAATTTCACTTGGCACAAAAGTAGACTACACTAAGATACAAAATTTAGTGCATAGTTTTTTTTTATTTCTATGAACGGTGTTGCTATGGTTACTTAAACTAGAAGTTTCTGTACGAAATTCCGTCGTGATTTCAATTTCACTTGGCACACAGGTAGACTACACAAAGATATATACTGTAGAAGCAAAATTTTTCGTGGGGATAACATTTCGTTGATTTGCCAACAAAAATATTTTCGTTGACATTTAATTTCGTTGTTTTGAATGTTATCCTATTCAATATATAGTCATATAAAATTTCGTGTGGGATTTAATTTCGTTGATTATTGTTAATAACGAAATAAACGAAATTTCATCCCCCACGAATATTTGTGCTTTTACAGTAATTCAGTGGATCAATTTCTGATTTCGAAGAACGGTGTTGCAATGGTTACTTAAACTTCTCCTCCTACAGTTTTGATCTGAATTCAATAAAATTTGGAAAACATGTACACTACACTAAAGTACATAATTCTATTTATTGTTGCCTGTTGCAAAATTTCAAATCCAAGTGCTACTTTTCCTTTGTTGTACGTAGAAACAAGTATAGCTTCAGTCTCATCAGAGATTTCTGGTTTTCTTATTGTAACGTAATTTTGCTGAATCAATTACCGTATAAGTGGAAATTTTAGCGAGACGCAAATTTAGCGATTTATCCTTAAAAAGTGGTATTTTATTTTTAGCGAGATGAAATTTTAGCGATTTACGAATTTTCACTAAAGAAACTATAAGAAATAAAACGCAATCAATTTTTAGCGATATTCAATTTTAGCGATCCCACTACCCTCGCTAATAACCAAAATTAAATCCTTGCTAAAATTTCTGCTTATACGGTATTTCATATTGATAAACTTTGGCAAATTTTTCTCATACTATTTTATGGTACATGACATCAAACGAGTTTGACAACTATATTCTAAATATCTTAGAATTTCAAAGTAGTATCGTTGCAATCAATTTTGTGTCACATTGGTATTCTTTTACATGTACATTTTTAACAATATCAGATGCCTCTTCTAAGCACGCATTCTAAATTAAAAATTTCTTTTGCAGCTTGTAGCCATGGAGAATATGGCAAAAATTGCTCGCAACGATGTAGCAGTAATTGCTTAAATGGAGAAATCTGCAATCCTTTTTATGGGAGATGTATCAGCTGCACCCCAGGTTGGAAAGGCCTACTTTGTAAGGAAGGTAGGTTTTAGAATAAAGGGAAACCGTAATTATGACTACTATAACTTTCAACTTTAAAATGAATTTAAATCATGTTACTTTTTTGCTTCTCAACCTAATAGAAAAAGATCATAATATAAACCCGTACATTGTGACAAATACATTTTTATTATGTTCTAAAACAATCATCCCCCCCCCCCTTCATTTTTGGAGTCCGTTTAGACATATAAAATATTCTGTTGAGGTTAACCAGTAATCACTCTCATAATCATTCGTATGAATACCTGTATGCATTTTTACTCTTCCAGCATGTAAACCAGGGATGTACGGAGCTAACTGCTCGAGTCTGTGTGGAAAATGCAGAGATAATCAAAGGTGCCATCACGTGACTGGACGTTGCCCTGGAAACTGTTCACCTGGTTGGAAACCACCTGGAAAGTGTGATGAAGGTAATTGTCAAGCTGAAACAACTAAAGAGATAAGGCGGGGGGTCTTTACTGAAGTCAAGATTGCATTTTTGAAATTAAATAAATAAATAAGAAAAAAAAGAGAGAGAAAGAGTGGAGGAGGGGGAGAAGTAATAATGTAAGGTTCATTATTCAAAACGTGTATTCTATTTTAAAAGTAATAGTAAAACACTTACTCGTGGAATCTTTGCAGAATGTGACACAGGGACGTATGGAGAAAACTGCTGGTACGGATGTAGTGCGAACTGTTATCTGGGTAATATCTGTGACAAGGGAAATGGTTCCTGTATCAAAGGTTGCAAAACAGGGTGGACATCAAGATTTTGTAATAAAAGTAAGTCTAAATATATAACTCTCTTAAACATGCATACTTGTGTTTTACCGAAATGAAAACCATTGAATATCTTTTTGAAGGTAACACTGTCTATTATGTTTTTTATTTACTTATTTTATAATTTATTATTTAGCATATTTTATATATTTCAGCTTGTAAAGATGGCTTGTACGGACCCAACTGTAAACTCCAATGTAGCAGCCATTGCTTCAACAACGCCATCTGCGATAGAGAAACAGGGTTATGTCCTCTTGGTTGTCATGAAGGATATGTCTCACCACTCTGTCATCAAAGTAAAATAAGAAATCCATGAAATTTTATAAATTACTGAAGTATCTTTTGAATCTCTTAACAAATCAATTTTCATTTCTTCATTTTGTCTCGCATTTAGCTTGTAGAGTTCACAATTTGCATTATATGCTCGTAGCATCCCAAAATACAAGCATGCAGGATTTAATTGGACCTATCATAGGGATTGCCATTGGGTCATCTTTAGCTGCATATTTCATCATTGTCCTTCTAAAGCACATTAGAAGGTAAATAATTTTAGTAAATAAAGCAAATCTTGAAAAATCTGTTGGTGGCTGAAAATTGCAATACACTCGTGAATCTACTAGAAATTCGGATTTCAAATTTTATCGACCAATCAAATCATCGCCTGCAAATCACAGGTTATTTGTATAAAGGAATACGTCTATATTGTTCCGAATCTGACCTCTGACAAGACCCTCTATGGGATGATGTTAGTGTAGGGAGTGTGCGAATGGATCTAACATCTTATTTTAATTAGATTGCTTAGCACTATGAGCAATTGTGCAGTGAGCTATAGATCTTATTCTCGTCAGTTCTTACCACGACACGGGACCTTTTATACGGTCTCATCAGAGAGACCGGTCTACCGCACCGCTGTGTGATTTGAAGCATGGACGTTTCACCGCGATTCTAAACCAAACACTCTAACAAATGACATTCTTTAAGAGAAATACTTCTACAGATTTTACTCAGTACGCATGTATTAAGATTCATTATTCATTGACTTTTATGTTTCATCTCATAGAAAATTGAACTCGAAGAATCCAATTCAGAAAGAACGAACCAATCAAAAGTGGAATACACCTCTTCCAATGACGCCTTCCGTGACGCGACAATCACAGAGATATCAGTACGAACAGCCAATAAACGTACAGGAGGATAGTCGACAATATGAACTGTTAGATGACGCAGTCTGAATATTCGTTGAATTTGTCATTGCGTCATAATTCATCACTGAGCAAGCTTTGAAATTTCGATTGATTTAATTTCTTTGTTTCGTTTTTGTCATAGTGATCATATTTTGATTGAATTTTTAAACTTGTGTTTTACTTGCTTGTATAAATTTAACCCAAACGTTTTTAAGATCAATGTGTAATGTACATCAATATATAAAAGGAATGTTTTTCTATCACGGATTAATTCCTATCTGTCTGGTTTCTGACAAAATTTATTATAAATATACATTAATATTGTTAGATGTTTTTAAGCTTGAAATGTTTTAACAATTTTCTTAGACAAACCGCTGTATATTTCCCCTCTCAGATTTGGGCACGCAAAATTGGAGGCAGGGGGATATTATCTATTACATTTGGATACAATATTTGTTCATTGAAAGGTCGGTAACCCCCATTTTTTTTTACAATCGCAACTTCTCGGGCCTTTCCGACTAGCGGAGAAACAACCTAAATGTATGACCTGACGCTATGGCAACTTCTTTTTTCTCTTTCAAATCAATACATTTTCTTCCTCATTTTCACTGTGAATTTCCCAAATCAAAGGCTTTTCAATTTTATCAACTACAGTTGATTAAAGCACCGAAATTAAAGGAAGCTTATTTAAACTTCTATTGAAAACCTTTTGCATATATCATTAACTGACAGAGATTTAAAGAAATCTACAAAGACATGGTGATCCGCTCTAAGAACCCTCTCAAAACTGCACACTAAAGAGTTCTGGGGCCCGTTTTACTAAAGAACTTGGGACTATGACCAAAACGTCAGATTATTGTAAAATTTTGCAGAATTAATAATTTTCTTTGAAATTGTCTGTGTAAAAATATATTACCACATTCTTTTTAAAAAGTTTAAAATAATTTTCCATATACTGTTAATTAAAAAGTTATATGTATAATTTAACTTGGTCTTAAGTCGTTAGTCCTTTTGTAAAACGGGCCTCTGATTCTAAGGTATTTTTCTGCAGTTAGTCGTACGAACGAGATCATACTAAGTCGTACATAAGAGATAATAAGTCTTGCGTACGACATAATAAGTCGTACGACGAGATACTCAGAACGTACATGAAGCTGCAGAACTGTAGCTTTATGATTTTGTACATTAGTCTTTGATCATATATTAAATGCAAATAATGTGCAATCTACGGCGCAAGATTTGGTAATTTTATAATTCTATGGGAAGAGTTTTTAAACTTTCCAGCTTTGGCATTCTTAGCACATTCTTTAACCAATCTGTATATTTTATCCACCTCCTAGCCCTTTATATTCCTTTCTACAGGCGATAGACTCGATTGATTTGAATTTTCTGTTGGATTGCAGAAAATTCAATTCAAGCAAGTTTATCACCTCTGCCCGATTCGATTTTGGGATTTTTTTAATAGTTTATTTTATATTTATCTGTAAAACTTTTAGCTTGTTACAATTCATAAATCATAAACTAGGAAGGATAAAGATTTTTTGCAATACATGTATTGATTTTGACCTGTGACCATGCCTATTTTCAAAGCCTTATTAATTTCGGGCTTAAAATGGTATTATTAAGAGTAAATGGCTATAGGATATCGTCTAGAAACAGTGTTTAAATGTAGAGAGAAATTATAAATTACTATAATTATAACAACAAACTACGAGTGGTATAATGTCTTTGACCTGTCAGTTAGTCCGTCAGTCCTTTTTTATTTCCTTATTTTTGTTTAAGTATTCATATACAACTGCATATAATTTCAGGAAACTTTGTAGATAATTCGGACACAATGTATAGATGTGCATGTTACCAAAACAGACACGTAGCAATATTACTATTTAAAATTTTCATTGAAAGGTCGGTTGCCCCTCCCCCGCTTTTTGATACAGTAAAGTGAAATAAGGGTAATGTACATGTACATGTAGTATTATATGGGGGAAAATGGTACTAAAAGAAATTGGAACTTTGAAAAGCCCCCCCCTTCCCTGAAATAATATTTTTCTTGTTAGGGCAATTTCTTTTACTTGTCAACTTTTTTCAGGTTAAATATTTTTTTCTCTCTGGCTGCCTACCCCCCCCCCCCTTTCAAAAACGATGCTACGTCACTGCAAGAAATTCTATTTTCTATATTTTCTGGGAATTTCAGGCCTTTTGAACTTAGAGAGGGGGATCGGTTTTGGCTATTTTAGACTATATTGCTCTTCTTTAGAAGAAGAGTTCCATATGAAAATGATAAAATTTAAAAGCTGAAATAAATGAAATTTCTTCTGTAATCATTAAAGAAATTGAAATTGCATATGTATATGTATATGAAATTTAGGTTCTTTCGTTTTAGCAATCAAAAGCACGACAACTATTTGTACGCCCGTCCATTCATGAAATTCTAAAGAAATCCGGATAACTACATATTATCTTGTATGTGTAACATTATCTTGATCATATAACTACCACAGGTAAATGTTATCTCGTTCCTACGACTTAGTATCTCATTCTTACGAATAATTATGTCGTGTGTACGACTTATAATGTCGTACCTACGACTTAGTATCTCGTACGTACGACTTAGTATCTCGTTCGAACGACTTAGTTTCTCGTTTGTACGACTTAGTATCTCATTCGTATGACTTATTATGTCGTTCATATGACTTATTATGTCGTACATACGACTACGTATCTCGTACGTACGACTTATTATGTCGTACGTACGACTTAGTATGGCGTACGTACGACTTATTGTTATGTTGTACATACGACATATCATTGTACGTACGACTTAGTATCTCGTATGTACGAGATAATATGTCGTGCGTACGACTCAGTATCTCGTTCGCATGACTTAGTATCTCGTTCGTACGGCTTATGTCGTACGTACGACTTAGTATCTCGTACGTACGACTTACAATATTTTTTTTCAAGTGGCAGCAATACGCTTCCGTAAAAATGACTAGCTCTTTGTTCGTGAAGTCATAGAGGAAACTGTTTTAAACATATCAGCAAATGAGATAAAATTTATGCAATTGTTGATTTGTGGAAAAAAATATTTTAAAGCACGATACTCTTTTTCTTCCTTCTGTTACGAATAAATTTAGTGTAAATGCCCACGAGCAATGAGCAATGATATAAACAGAAAGTATAATAGGCTTTGTTTGTTCAGTGATTTGCTCAATATTGTAGGAAAACATTAAATATTCCATTTTGTACAAAGGGACGCACTTACGGCACAGCTAATGCTGATTAAAAATATAAATTTTCCTTCTCCAACTATTAGAGCATGTTTCTAATATCTTCCTAGTGAAATTTGTGCATAAAGTTGAGAATAAATCAACTTTTCATGTATTATGTTTTTCGTCATTTTTGCCTAATGGATCCAATGCGTTTAATAGGGGTTATATTATACTCTCAGTGGATCTTTGATGTCCTTGCATATTGTAAGTACAATTCACAAATTATACGGTTATAGATGTGTAGCTTGTGATTTGTGCCCATAATCATGAGACATCTTAAAGGATTTTTATCATGACTCAAAATTTATTGATATGACAAAGTGAACATGCTAATAGAATTATCCATAGAATATTGGTATTTTGAATGTTATTTGTTACATGTGTAGTTTAAATATAAAATTAATCTACTTATATAGTAAATTTGCTTATTCTTTTAACTAATAAAATAATATGTACTTTAGAAGATAAAACTAGTACTTATAGATTGAACTATTTACATTGTACCCGGTTGAAATAACCATACATGCATTTCCGTGCCAAGGCGATTCTGAGTAAAATAACGGATTTTTTTTAAAATTCACAATTGTCTGCTAACGTATTGCATAAAAACACTCGTATTTTAAAATTCTAATGCAACATATTCTATATTTATGTGTCATTTTTATTCTTTTATGATGATTATTTTAGCTAACTTCTACATGTATCTGTAGACATTAATTTCTCGGTCGTGATTATACTCTGACAAGATGATGGAAAGAGGCATTCCAATTATTAATAAAATAAATTTTCAAATCAAACTAAATACGCAATGTGCTGTCATAGCTTTTATTGAACAGAGAAATGTACGAGAGAGAGAGAGAGAGCCTTTATTCTCAGATATCTGTTGTATCAAATGAAAATTCGTATTATTTTCCCTAAATGTTCAAAGCAGTAAAAGGAATCAAATTTTTAAGATAAACAAAGCCATTTGACAGTATTCATCGGGTTTTAGTTTCCATCTTCAACTCCACATGGTTCACAGAAAGTCCACGTGTTTGTCCTGTCAATCAAATTCATTCGACACAGAGGAAATCTCGCTTCACCGAGCATGCCGAAGGCAAAGAGTCATTTAGTATTTCCAAGAAGTTTAAATATTTTCCCCTATCATTACTAGATCTGATTTTTGCATTCCTGCAGAATAAAATAAATAAATAATGGGAATATATACTTGGAAGGATTAAGTTTGAAATTGAATATGAAACATATTCCCTGCCAGTTTAAAATACTACTGTCGGCACATATATATTTTGAAATACTACTGTTTAATGACTGTTTTATGTTATTTTTACAAGAATGATTTTCTTGTGTTTCAATACACATTAAATACTAATATTCTGGGTATACTAACTAAGAATTTGATTTCGGGAGAAAAGGCGACCGGGGGGGGGGGGGGGGGACTCTTGATTATACTGAATGTCAAACATATATTTACGGACGGTGAATGAAGGAATTTTCCCTCTCTAATAATAAACTTAACGTAAAGTACAAAAAATTCTAATGTATTACATTTTAAACAGTTGGTCCTTTCTAAAATTTAAAATCACGCAATTAATCTAATTAGCTCTAGAGATATTTAATTTACTGAATATCTGCAGTACTGTTCATAATTCTCAGACCTACGTGTAGTTCTAATATGTTATCGTGCAGTTTTTTAAATACATGTTAGAAATATTTTTTTTGTGTATTCTTGTCTTGTAAAAGACTTGGATTATTATCCATCAATAAATGATTTGTCGTCTTTTACATTACAACAAATTGTTGCCGAGCGTGAAGCATTTTAACATTGTCCTTTTTTAATTTAATATTTAAGCATCGTTTTACATACACGTACATGTGTAGGTACTTAATGTATTATTTTCCAGTAAAATTTCATGAATAAAGTTACAACCAAGTTATAATAATTGAAATATAAATATCGTAGATAATTTTTGCAGTGAAATAATTATTCTTCAAACACGATATCTTAGTTATTTAATTATAAAACGTGTAAATCCTTACCATCAAAAAGATAAGTCCTTTCACTTCGGAGCTCCGAATGACAATGAAGACTGAATGATAAGTGAACGGTGAACGCAAAGTAAACGGAACGAAGAGCGAACGGTGAACGTTTTGTGAACGGTGAACGCGAGCGCACGGTGAACGCAAAACTGTGAACGGAGAGCGAAAGATGAACGCACGCTGAACGATCGGTGAACGAACGCTGAACGAACGGTGAGCGAACGGAAAAATGGGAAAGTAGAACGTTTCAGGGACTGTATATATACGAGGAGTTATCAAAAAGTTCGTGGACTGAGGCTATAAAATTAGTGCTATGTTGTCTGTGCTTTCAAAATGAATGTGGAACATAAAACAACAAAAAATAAAGAAATTTTGAAAATTTAGCTTGATACGTTCATTATTTGCCAAATTATTATAAGATTAAAACGACATTATATCATCACCCGGCGCCGTCGCCGTTTACTTTCATGACGTCCGACTACTTCATTGTTTTTTCAATATGTCCGCTCCCTCTACCTCATAGAATATTGATAAAGTTACTTACAGCTGAGTAAGTACTTCCATCCGCCTTGTTTATATGAATTTGCAATGCAGTTTTCAATGAAAATAATATTCCAAATGGATTTATACATTGGGAAAGATGCTTGCTTGATTGTTTTGCTCTTGGGAGTTCAATATCTACAACTCATGAACAACGTCATTTTTTGACGTGATTGATTTATCACACCTTGACTACAAATCGACATTAACTGTGCATCCCTTTTCTCTCTAAATCTATTTTGACATTAAAAGACCAGCACTCTGGATGCATTTCATTTCTTTGTAGCCAGTTTAAACATTTCTTAGGTCTATACCAGTTTTTTTCCAGGAGCAAACCTTATAGAATGTTGGATAAGGAAATTCAATTCAATTTAACGTCATTTTCAAGGCCTTATATACAGACCCTGAGACGTGCTACTACCCCAAAAAGCGTGTTAACTTTCGTGCGCTTTCCGTTTCGTGCAAACCGTGTAGCGTTTCGTGTAAACCGTGCAGCGTTTCGTGCAAACCGTGTAGCGTTTCGTGTAAACCGTGCAGCGTTTCGTGTAAGCTCCAAAGCGTTTCGTGCAAACCGTGTAGCGAGCGTGCGAAAAGCGTGTGAGAAACGTGCGACTTTCGTGTAAGAACCGTGTGAGAAACGTGCGACTTTCGTGTAAGAACCGTGTGAGAAACGTGCGACTTTCGTGCAAGAATCGTGTAAGATTCATTCGGAAGTCATTTCATTTTAAATATGGCTATGATGGGACAGGATGTAAAATTGTATTAGTATTCTATTATTGAATTAGTTATGCTTGTGATATTTTAGGAGTAAAAACAAACAAAAAAAAAGGAACAGCAAAATGAAATTACACGGTAATGTATAATATATATTTGTTTGTTTTCTTTTCCTTCTAAAGAAAATATGTTCAAATTAATCAACTATGTACAACAATTTTAAGGGCATTGAATTCAATATACTATCAACGCGATCATGGCTTCTTAAATATTTTTTCTTAAATAAAGAAAGAAATACCGGTATTATTTTTTTTATAATTTAAAGCAAAAAATGTATCAGGACTCCGTTCTTGTCTTTACATTTAAAGTACGTTAAAGAACGTTTTGTAACGATGTGTCATTTAATACTTTTTGATACATAAAACTTCTTGCTCATTATTGTCAAATAAATGAATTTTATAATTTTAATTCACCCCTTAAAAATGTAATGAAATCTTCTTTCCGCCTTTCAACGGTGATCAAGGTCATTTACAACAGCGATCACAGGCTCCGAGTGCATGGTAACTGAAAACCTGTTTTGCTGTATGTACATGTTGAGTTCTTGGCTTAATGACACCTGAAAATTACGACTGGTATTTATTATTTTTTAAAAAATAAAACGGTTCAATAAATATTTAATGGGTACAACTTATAAATCAGCGGATTTCATCTTTTATTTGTAAATCCGAATTTCTAGCCGTAAACAGTAAAATAAACAGAACTGATTTGGTAGTCTTTTCATGAATATCATGTAAGAAAAGCTTAGGAGTAAACCATGAATAATTGTATATTATTTGTTTTATAAATCACGTACTTTTATTTCATCTAAGATATTTCAGTTTTCTTGTAATATACCTGAATGCCGGTGTAAAGATCGATCTACATTGTATGTACAATGTATAGTCAAATGCCGCGACTACTAATTAATGTACAGATATATACGTACGTTTCGTCGGGTTTTGAAATGAAGGATTTTACAGTATGATGGGTATACTGATGTTATTTGATAAGCTTTATGTAAAAAGAGAAAGAGAATAAAAATAGATTAAGACATCACATTTAACCCCCCCCCCCCTTTACCAGTTTCCCTTCTATAGATAATGCTTACGTAAGATAAAAAAAATTCTTTAAAAATGTATCAATAATCGTTAGTAGAGTACATAGGCAAATTTTATTACTACATGTAAATCAAAATCAACAAAAATAATCCGCCTACGGAAATCAAACACAATATAATCAATATTATCTAATATCAATGAGTTCATATCCCTGCAGTAAGAAATCGAATTTGTATTTAATTTATTAAATTATACTCGTAAAAACATTTCATTGAAATGAATGACTAATATATAAAAAATGTATTTTATCAAACAGTCATTCATGATATCGGCATTTCGTTTTTAAACAGTTGGATAAATAAATAAATAAATAAATACGAAATGACAATTATTTATTAATTAATTACAACTGTCGGAGTATTAAAAATTTCTATCGGTTTATATAATACTACTGTACTGATATTTAATTCAAACAGCTGCCAAATGTGGCTTTGTGAAAGATTTCCATTTAATTAATGATAAAACCGCAATAATGCCCGATATATTCCGAGTAGAAAATCCAAACCGAGGCCAAAACGTGCGAGAATCGTGTACAAAGCGTGTGAGAAACGTGTACAAAGCGTTTCGTGCAGCCTTTCGTGTAAACCGTGCAGCATTTCGTGCAAAGCGTTTCGTGTAAACCGTGTAGCGTTTCGTGCAAACCGTGTAGCGTTTCGTGTAAACCGTGCAACGTTTCGTGCAAACCGTGTAGCGTTCGTGTACCGTTCGTGCAGCGAGCGTGTGGGGTAGTAGCACGTCTCAGGGTCTGTATTTGTTTGGACAATTCATGTAAAATTTACGATAAAATTTTATAGAATTTCCAGAATGAAGTAAAAAAATCATATTTTATGGAACAGTTATATCCCAACTGAACACATACCTGAATTAACGGGATTGTTCATATCAAAAGAGTTTTTTTCAGTTACACTTAGGTTGCGAAATCGTCGTGATCGAGGTTGCGCCGCCTGGACATACCATTGCTTACAAAACATTATACTAATTTATTTTAAAAATAAAATTTATGATTCCTGGTTTATTCGTTAGATAGAAAAAATGATGCTAACTAGATATTTTAAAATTTATTGATGTACCTAAAGCGTTTTAATTTTATGGCGCTATTCCACGAACTTCTTGATAACCCCTCGTATTGAAGGGAAATTGTTTTATCTTTGATATCCTCTCCTCTTGTCAGCATATTAATCTTTTGTACAGTACCTTTCAATACGAAATAATTTATCTCTATATTTCAAATTAAAAGGAAGACTCATGATACGATTCTGAATTAAATAACTACTTGGATAACGGATACACTCTTCTTTTGTTTTCTTTTCAGATAAGTTACCACTTAACGGAACTCCTACGGCCAGCCTCAGCTCGACATACAGTGATTTTTATGACGCAGATAACGCAATAGATAATCAGAAAAATTTACTTCAGCTTATTAATGGATCTTGCTCTCGCACTTTTTACAAAAATGAGACTGCGTGGCTCAGAATCAATCTGACAGATGCCTACAGTATAAAGTCAGTAAAACTGTTCTATAGGAATGACAGTAAGTATTCAATGTTGGGTATGTCAAATTTGGTAAAGTTACTTCAGAGATTATCTTGCTCTGTCTAAAAGTAGTTTTCTAAACTTCATAAGAGTACAGTAAAGATGCGCTTGTGCCTTGAATACTCAGAACATCAAAATATCTCTAAAAGTGTGCGAAAATATTTTATCCTGATCACTCATTTATTTTATTTAAGAATATATATGTCGATTTATAAAACGGAACTTAATTAACATACCCTGGATCGAAAGATCTTGTTTTGTCCTGTCTGTTTGTCTACCTGTTGTCTTAACTTTAACATATCCCATAACTATTGCGCTTTCAAGGGTAAATGTATACCACTTCAGTCTACGTCTAACTCTAGAATGTGCTTCATGTACAACCGGGGTCATATTGTTTCACAAAGATATCTTGTTTGAAAATGCTTTGATTACTGTTCAAGTGATATTCAAATACATGTACAATCAAAATATTTCTTCGATTTCATTAGGTGGAATCTCCACTTCAAGTTTGCAAGGTTACTACATCAGGGTTACTAACTCTAGTGATTCCAGTTTATGGAACGAGAGTCAGGTTTGCTATCGAGATCCTGGAAATAAAACGTTACCTGTAATAAACGAGCAGGAGTGTCACAGAGAAGGACAATACGTGTGGATCCTCAATGATGACGCTACAGATGAGGATACTCCTTATGTTCACCTTGAAATATGTGAAGTGGAGATTAAAGGTTATATGATGTTGTAACTTTTGAATTCACTAGGGGGAGTTTAAATGCAAAATTAATACCTGGATTTTAAGTTACCCCGTCCGTGTAAATGTTTTACTTCCCCAAATAAATTCAAAATTTACAGCATGACAATCAGATGCACGTGTGTTTTTCTTACAACAATTTCTTACAACAGTTTGATGTACCTTAACAAATATACCTTACACAAAAGAAATACAACAGACCTTTAACACATACATGTAAATATACAATGACTTTTAAAGTCTTTTTTGCTTATTATAATCCCCCTGGAAAAGGAATTTGATGTGGTATATAAATGCACTTGTGAGTGGGAGATCTTATGTAATCGATGTATATTTTCCCCCCTTTTTGAGAAGAGATGCTCTGTAAAAACATGTGTTTGTGGGTTTTATATATTTATAAAATTTATTTTATTTCTAGGCTGTGAAGTAAATAAATTTGGTGAAAACTGTACACCTTGTGGTGAATCCTGTAAAGTATGCAATATTATTGAAGGATGTACACATTGTAGTGGAAATTTGACCGGACCGAAATGTGAGGATTGTTCGCCAGGATATTGGAAGGAGAATGATAGTTGTCGTAAGCAAAGAAAATGATTATATATATTTCTTAGATCGATCATTGTTTGCTATTTTTAATCACTGTTTTATAGCATATCCTCGGAAATGGTTTCTTTTTTTCCCCAAAAACTTCAAGACAGACAAATTAGAAACATTGTTTTAAATATTCCAATTTCTAAACGACACAAATGTTAAGAAAAATTGCTACAAAATGCATAGAAATGTTGTTAACATTCAGAGTGATTCTTTCAGGAAATTAGTAATAATTGATTCAGTTTGATAAAGAAATATTCTGAATTCTCACATCTATAAAATTGTATCACATGTTTACATAATACATAGTGATAAATTCATCCGTATGGAATATTTAAAGACTGAAGCTTATTTCAACATATGTTATACGACAATGTTATAGACAATGAAATAATTTTTCCTCTAGAAAAAGGCTTAAAATTGAGCATTTTTTAAAAAGTAACACTAAGCATTGTAAAACGTTTTTGAAGTAACTCGTTGTGACGAAGGCAACTCATGTTTTACAAAATGGATTAAGCATTTTACCCAATCAAATGACGTGTTACAACTAAAATTAATTTATTATCCTGCAACATTTCATTAGCTTTTTAAATTTTTTTTACATACTACTTTATTTTCAGAAATATGTCCTAAGTGGGATATTGGTTACAATTGCTCAGGTAACTGTTCTGGGATATGTAATGCTAACCAAACATGTTTTAACGGGACCGGAGAGTGTGCAAGCCAGACAGTATTAATCGGGAAAACTTGCAATGAGAGTATGTAAATGAAATTCATTCTTTCTCGATTTTTTTTCCATTTACAATTTAATATTTTATCAGTTTATCATTATTTTGTCTAAAAAGTTGATTATGCATCTAGCTGAAATAATTTTTTATTTCTTTTGAATATCAGAAAAGTTAACCATTTTACTGATATAATTTTTATGTCTTTAATATAGCAGAGAGATATCCTGAATTATAGTGATAAAAGTCATTTGTAGTAAAATTTTACATTTAAGCTACATTGTGTTGCAGTTAGTGTTAATGTGTGAAGAATGACTCTTTTTATTTCAATTTAATTTACAATTCGCATATATATTTTTAATATATTTTTAAAAAACTATTGGATTTTTCTAAGTCAAAATAATGTCAGAAAATATGAAAATAAATATTAAAATTCAATGAAATGATTTAGGTTGCACAAATAACACCTATGGTCAGGAATGTATGCAAAATTGCAGAAGAAGCTGTGGTGAAAGTGAGGCTTGTCACCATGGTAATAGATCCTGTACTAATGGATGCATCAATGGAATGAAAGGAAATCAGTGTAATGAATGTATGTTGAAAAGAAAATTTCATCCGTTAGATATGAAAAATAAAAAGAAAATATGTATTAAATCAGTAGGCCTACATGTATTGTACTTCTTCTAGTCTTGAAGTCGGTTGGTATTTTTGACATAAGGATGATTGCACTTCAGGACGTGTGAAATTAGCGACAAAACATTTCAAAACCTACATTTTACAACTAATTGCTGTATTGTCAAAATCTTATCTACTTTTACTTCAATAAAAGTTGTCTTCACGAAGTACAAATCAAGTTTCCAAAGTGAGGATCATTACAATTTCTCCTACGATAATAAGAATGCCAACTTCGTACAATAGCTATAAACATAGTTAGCTCATTTTTTGCCTTTATTCTTCGTTTGATGGTACCTGTATTGTTATGTCAAAAAGGACAAAATTGCTAAAGAAAAAAATTCGCCTCTAACATTAACTTTCTCTGATGTAACCAGGGACTGTCACAAAATGAATAAAATAATTTGCCATGTGATTTAAATCTACGTCGAGTAGAATTCAGGCATATTAATTATTACTACTAAAAATTCAGGCATATTACTAATAAGGAAGCACAAACTATGTTCGATTCAACTTACGATGACATGTTCATATTGATTAATAAGAGATAAAAATTTCGGGAAAAGTTATTTTGTGCCATGTAAGAGAAAGAGGGGAAAATAAAGATAGGGAAACTGATCTTGTTTTTTTTTCTTAAAAAGTTAACACTACACCTCATGCACTTAGTGTGAAGTTCTTTTTAAAGGAAATCATTAAATTATTTTATTATCCTTTTGACATCTTTACCTAGATATACATTGTATATATACAAATTGTCATTCTGTTAGCGTAATTTCTTCAGCTTACGTCCCACTCCAGAATTGTGTTACCATCGGGGGTTTAGTATTTCACAAACACATTGTTTTTTATATACTAGCAAATTCTGGTAAAGATCATGATCAGACAGAAAAGGGAAACTCTTTGTCACTTGCACCAGCGGCTATTGGCGCCGGTATTTCAGTATTGGTGATGTTCATCCTCATCGGTTCTCTTATACTCTTCTATAAAAGGTATCTATGTATCTATATGGAAACTTGTGTCTTTCCTTTTTTTTTTTTTTTTTAAATTTTTGTACCGGTAGCAGAAATAACCATCATTACTCTTACTTTTAAAAACATTGCCTTTCACCAAGGCCAGTAAGACAGACTCTAAAATGTCAATGCCATATTAAACAAGAGGCCCACAGGCCTGATAGGTAATTTGAGTATCGTGTATCAACTTTCCAACGATTGAATTCGGTTCGTGTTTTAAACCAGAGGCCATGAAAGTAACAATTTTGAAAAAGGCACCATTGCTTATCATAATTATACACTTAGCATGCTTACTCTGGCTACTTAAACCCCAGAGGTACATGTAGATTAGAGTAACAAAGAGGAAATGCATTTCCACATTAAAACTAAATTATTATTCCATAATACAATTTTATCATAAATTTTATTTATATACCGGTATATACCCATGTAAAAGATGACAGTTGGCGGACTGCTCAACCTGTACTTAGCACTATGAGCCCTTGTGCATTGAGAGTCTTTTTCTTGCCAAATCTTACCGCGAAGCAAAACCTTCTAAACGGTCTCTTCAGAGGGACCGGTCTACCCTCCCGCTGGGTGATTTTAACCATCGACGTTTCATCACGATTATAGAACAAACGCTCTAACCACAAACATTCTTAAATAAAGATACTTCTACAGATTGTGATGAGATAAAATATTTATTGACTTTTATGTTCCATCTCATAGGAAACTGAACTCAAAGAATCCAATTCAAAAAGAACGAACCAATCAAAAGAGAAATACACCTCTTCCAAAGACGCCTTCCGTGACGCGGCAATCACAGAGATATCAGTACGAACAGCCAATAAACGTACAGGAGGATAGTCGCCAGTATGAACGATTGGATAACGCAGTCTGAATTTTAGTTGATTTTATTATTACTTCAAATTCATCACTAAGCAAGCTTTGAAATTTCAATGCCAATCAAAATCATATTCCTACATAATAATCTGTTTGTTGTTGTTGTGATTAATTAAATTTCTTTGTTTTGTTTTTTCACGGTGATCATATTTTGACTGAAATTGTTTTACTTAAATTGTTTTTACTCGCTTGTATGATTTTAATCCAACGGGTTTAAGATCACTATGTAATGTACAACAATACATGAAAGGAATGTTTTTCTATCACATATTAATGCATATCTGTCTAGTTTCTAACAAAATAAATTATGAATATAAGAGGATTATCCGGTAAATCGTGAACAAGTTGTCTAGTTTAAAAAATAATTATCACTGCGTTCTGATATTTTCACTACTTTTTAGTACATATATTATGAATATACAGAGAAAATTTCAAATAGATACATGCATGAATAGACAAATTATGATATTTTATGTTATGTATTGTATCATCCTACGGCGCAAGGATGATAACGTCAAAGTGTCTTAAACAGCGTTATGTTTCATTTTTGCTAAAAATAAAGTTGGATAAGTCGCACTTTTAGTCTCCATAAACAGCTGCGGAGCCAATCTGGCACACACATGCGATTTTCTAAAGATTTATTAGCAAGTTACGGACAGTATGATCGCCATCATTCAAATAATAGAGAATCTCATATGAACGGTCCACAGTGACAACGTCTTTTGCTATTACAACAGCAGTTCGTCCGTATGTTTTGTACTCCCTGGGTACTCAATCAAAAAGACTTCGCTAAGAAAACTTCCATTTCATTTGTTTACTAAAGATCTGATGATGTTTTCATATATTTTTTCTTCCGTATTCATCAGATATCTCTTAGGGTGTTATTACAACATTCCTATCAAACTGAACTGCTCTCCGGTGCGCCGTAACGTCATCAAACGTCGCCTTTTTAGCTCACCTGAGCCGAAGGCTCAAGTGAGCTTTTCTGATCAAAATTTGTCCTTTGTCTGTCGTTGTCGTAGTCGTTGTCGTTGTCGTCGTTGTCGTAAACTTTTCACATTTTCATCTTCTTCTCAAGAACCACTGGGCCAATTTCAACCAAACTTGGCACAATGTATCCTTGGGTGAAGGGGATTCAAGTTTGTTCAAATGAAGGGCCACGCCCTTTTCCAAGGGGAGATAATCATGAATTTGTTAAAAATTAATGGCATTTTTAAAAAATCTTCTACTCCAGAACCGCTGGGCCAGGAAATATGAAACTCATGTGGAAGCATCCTCAGGTAGTGTAGATTCAAGTTTGTTCAAATCATGACCCCCGGGGCAAGGGTGGGGCCAAAATGGAGACCCAAGTTTTACATAGGAATATATAGGAAAAATCTTTAAAAATCTTCTTCTCCAGAACCACTGGGCCAGGAAAGATCAAACTCATGTGGAATCATCCTCAGGTAGTGTGGATTCTAGTTTGTTCAAATCATGACCCCTGGGGCAAGGGTGGGGCCAAAATGGCCGACCCAAGTTTTACATAGGAATATATAGGAAAGATCTTTAAAAATCTGCTTCTCCAGAACCACTGGGCCAGGAAAGATGAAACTCATGTGGAATCATCCTCAGGTAGAGCAAATTTAAATTTGCTCAAATCAGGACCCCCGGGGCAAAGGTGGGGCCAAAATGGCTGACCCAAGTTTTACATAGGAATATATAGGAAAAATATTTAAAAATCTTCTTCTCCAAAACAACTGGACCAGGAAAGATGAAACTCATGTGGAATCATCCTCAGGTAGTGTAGATTCAAGTTTGTTCAAATCAGACCCCCGGGGCAAGGGTGGGGCCAAAATGGCCGACCCTAGTTTTACATAGGACTATATAAGAAAAATCTTTAAAAATCTTCTTCTCAAGAACCACTAGGACAGGAAAGATCAAACTCATGTGGAATCATCCTCAGGTAGTGTAGATTCAAGTTTGTTCAAATCATGACCCCTGGGCAAGGGTGGGGTACAACCCAAGTTTTACATAGGAATATATAGGAAAAATCTTTAAAAATCTTCTTCTCAAGAACCACTGGGCCAGGAAAGATCAAACTCATGTGGAATCATCCTCAGGTAGTGTAGATTCAAGTTTGTTCAAATCATGACCCCTGGGCAAGGGTGGGGCCAAAATTACCCAAGTTTTACATAGGAATATATAGGAAAAATCTTTAAAAATCTTCTTCTCCAGAACCACTGGGCCAGGAAAGATCAAACTCATGTGGAATCATCCTCAGGTAGTGCAGATTCAAGTTTGTTCAAATCATGACCCCCGGGGCAAGGGTGGGGCCAAAATGGCCGACCCTAGTTTTACATAGGAATATATAAGAAAAATCTTCTTCTCAAGAACCACTAGGACAGAAAAGATAATACTCATGTGGAATTTTAGGTAGTGTAGATTCAAGTTTGTTCAAATCATGACCCCGGGGCTAGGGTGAGGCCAAAATGGCCGACCCCAGTTTTACATAGGGATATATAGGGAAACCTTTTAAAATCTTCTTTTCAAGTACTTCAAAGCTATGATTAGTGATATTTATATGGAATCATCCTCAGGTAGTGTAGATTCTAGTTTGTTCAAATGATGAACGCCTGGAGGGGGGGTCCATAAATAGCCTGATGTGCTCAGGTGAGCGCTGTGGCCCCTGGGCCTCTTGTTTTATTTATTGTGTTTACCATTATCCCATTTCAAATTCTCGGGAAACGGCCAAAAATTAACCAAAGGCCTTGAAATTTTTAAAAAGACGACAACATTGAATAAAGGAATCGAACTGGGATAATTTTCTTCCCCATCGTATGTATTTAAACCTTTTATTACAAATTAATATTTGTGTAATTCTCTAATATAACCATGGTTTTTTTTACCGTGCGCCGTAGGACCGTACAACATGCACATTCAAGCATTATAAATCTTTATTTTTGTCTATATATTTTTAGAAAAAATAGAAAACACTGAAATATGATAAATAAACATGTACTGGAAATTTCAGATTAGTGCGCCCGTCACTTTTTTAGAAAAACGCTTTGTCCACGACTTTACCGGACAACCCTCGTACATAAATATTGTTAGGATTTTCTTAAGCTTTCAACGTTCTAACAATTTTCTCTGACAAATCGCTGTTTATTTCTCCTATCAGATTTGGGCACGCAAAATTGGAGGCAGGGGGATATTACTTATTACATTTGGATACGATATTTGTTCTTTGAAAGGTCGATAACCCCCAGTTTTTCTTTTTTACGATCGCAAATTCTCGGGCCCTTCCGACTAGCGGAAAAACAACCTAAATGTATGACCTTGACGCTATGACAACTTAAAAGTTTTTTTTTTAAAATTAATACATTTACTTCCTCATTTTTACTGTGAATTTCCCAAATCAAAGGTTTTTCAATTTTATCAACTAGTTGGTTAAAGCACCGAAATTAAAGGAAGCTTAATTATTTAAACTTCTATTGAAAACCATTTACATATAACATTAACTGACAGGGATTTAGAGAAATCTACAAAGACATTGTGATCTGCCTTAAGGTATCTGACCCATATTAGGACCAAAATTTCTAACCTTAAATATCGATTGTTTGTAAAATATCCTGAAATTATTTTAAAGCATCTTAGAGTAGAAAGGGATTTACCAAGAGAAATTTTCAAAAATGTTATTACCTAAGCAGAAATTAATTATTGAAGATTGCATTGAAGTCTATGGAAGGAAGTAAGTTTTTAAAGATAAAAAAAATAAATACTTCAAATATCAAAAATTGCTGTGGTGAAAAGATGTGTTTGATCATTGGGGATAGAAAAACAATTAGAAATAATTTTTTACCTGACAGATTTTTTAAAATTAATTTTTATTGATTAAAATCAAAGGGAGATAACTCATCAAGGGCAGGAAAAGGTCATTAATTAGGACATGTCCCACTCTTACATTCTGATACTAAAAGATGAAAATTAGTTCTAACTACACTGAGTATTCAGCTGACACAAATCTATTATGCATTCAATTCCATTCAATCTGATGCTAATATGGATCGGGTACCTTAAGTACCCTCTCAACACTGCACACCAATGAGTTCTGATTCTAAGGTATTTTTCTGCAGTTAGAGTGATCTGCCCTTAGATCTAAATTCTAAAAAATAAACATTTACAATATATATTACTCAATTTGTCATGAATTCAAGTATTAATTCTTAACATTTTAAAAGACCAAGATAAATTAACTGAACATGGCATTTACATAATTTTTTTTTATTAACGTAATTAACAGTGATTTCCATTCACTGATACCGTGTTGTCTTTGAACATTTCCTCGGGGTAAATGCCACGCACCATACAGTAAAAATTAAATAAATAGGTTCAATATTAACTCTTTTATACAATATATTTTTCTCCATGTCCAAAAAAATATTTGCACTTGTGTAGAGAGGGTCCTTAAGTTACATCTTCGCTGTTTTTATCAAATAGTATCTAAATGTATAAAATATAAATAAATGTGAATTTTTGTAAAAAGAAAACAAATAAATTAGTAAAAAATAAATAAATAAATAAATAATAATGAAATACCGCTGAAATTTATCATGTCTTGAGTTAATAAAAAAAGTTGAATCAAATTTAATTATATAATCTATAACCGGAATTCAATAAACAAGACTTCTGAAAACGATTCTCCTCTAACACTAACACACATTCTCTATTCATACTCTACAATACTAGTATATGTACATTTTATTCATAATGACTGGCTTTTTGTTCGTAAAGTCATAGAGGAAATTATTTTAAACATATCTGCAAATGAAAGAAACTTTAAGCAAATGTTGATTTGTGGGAAAAATGTTTTAAAGCACGATACTCTTTTTCTTCCTTCTGTTACGAATAAAGTGTTAATGCCCAGGAGCAATGAGCAGAGATACAGAGAGTTTAATAGGTTTTGCTTGGTGAGTGATTTGCGTAGTGTTGTAGGAAAACATTAAATATTGCATTTTGTAC